CTATTGATATTAAATATATAAGTATCACGTGTCACGATGTTTGTGGTCTCACTCCTTCGAAACGAATCGATCAATTTTATTGCTTTTTTTTTGTATGTTTGGTAAATATGAGAACAGGGCGTAAAGTATTGTTCACCCACCTACCCTCGCCCCCAGACGCAGACTTTATTATTTTCTTATCCTATTAAACTTTTTTATTAGAAAAGCAGTGCATAGTCAGTGTAAGCTTGGTTTAAAATCTCTTACACTATTGTACGTAGAGTTAATACTAGAAAATACGATGAAGGAAAATGTAATTTTGTATTTCTGTGGTGTCTGAAAAATATTTCTTTTTTTTTGTTTTATCGATATTACCTCATGCTATTGATATTTAATACCTATTAATCACCAACAACATTGGTTTTAGTAACTGGTATCTTATATCTGACAACACCTTTAATATATACGTACTCATATATACGTTTAATACGAATATATAAAAATACATAGAAATGTTTTTAAATTTATATGAGACGTATATAAACACGACAACAATAGCATTATGAGTTTGAAAATGGTCTTATAGTTTCAGAGTTGACATAATTCCTAATTTTTCAATTGTATTATGACATGTGAAACTTCAAATGTATGTCAATTTATATTGTAGATTCTATATACAAATACGTGTATAAATATTAATAGACTTTCCAGATTATCCGATTTTACTATGATGATATTTGTGATGAAAATTCTAACGTTAAAGTATACATACAATTATATTCTATTTTAGTAATACCCAATAAGAAACTCATTTGTATCTGAGTTTTATACCGCAAATAAGTTGTTAATAAAGCACACGGCCTAATTAGTACGATCGTAAAGTCCTCCTCTGACCCTTCTCAACAGATGACCGATATTTAGATAGCCCTATTCACACTCTACAGGCAATAAACAAAATGGCCAAGAAACAAAGTATTTCTCATTATTAGAAGTTGAAGTAGAGATATATTGCTTGAAGTACCGACAGTTGAGAACTTTTCTAGAGTGTTGGGAAGTATAGGCTCTTGACTGGTGAGATGTTCATGTTCAACTCTTTTGGAATTAATTTCAACTACCGATTCATATGTATGTTTTTGTTGGTTTTATTTTGTTTATAAAACTAATTTAAATAAAGAACTATAGTTAACCTTTATAGTTTTATGGCATAAAATACTGTTCACGGGAATCAACGTGGTCACAAGATGATTGTGACTACGTTGATTCCGTCGGAAAATTCAAAGATATGTAAAACCTCTTAGGCAATTGCCTTAATTCCTATAAACATTTCTCTCAAAAGTCTCTGCCGCATTTTCCTTACGTCTTTGCAAATGTAATTAAGAAAAAATCAAACAAGCAAACGTTTTTAATTGCGATCGACCTATAATTGGTTTACTTAGACGTCGTCTCAAATGTCAAAGGTAAATTGAAATCTAAGAACATTAGATTAGGTGCTTCATCTAAATCAAAGATAATTGATTAGACAAGTAGAAGTTAAAGTCAACTCAGGAAGATAAATTGCTAGAATTGACAGAGACAGAACCTACACCAAAGTTTTTCTTTTTAACTTTGTGTAGAGATCTATAATGGCAGATATTATAGATTGTGGTTTAGTCATTTAGTTGTAGTAGTAGTTAACTAAAGTTTTCTATTTTAATTATAAATTATTGTATTGTAACGCTCAATTTAATAAAATATTCCCTTACGTGGAAAAATTTAAATTAAATTAAAAAAGAATGGTTGGTATCATAACTTAAATCCTGACGCCGAGCTTTCGTGTTAATAACAGTGAATGCCGCTGTAAGCTGGCTCTGTAATACATTCAATTTTCTTTAATAATTTTGATGATAGATAATATTTTAATAATATAAGAATACTGAGATGCAAATAAAACTCTTAAAACTTTTGCAAATAGCTGTACCCTCCTACACTTTGCCCTGATACATTATGGGTGTCCCTAAATGAGGGATAAAATTGACTTGAAAAATATATAAAAACAATTGTTTTTATCTATTTTTATATCCATCTGTACATCGTATCAAAATTTGAGCTCAATCGGTGCAGAACTTTTTGAGTTTTTGAAGCGTACACAAACCAACTTAACATTTATATATATGGAGATGTATGTATGGAGAAAAGAGCCCTCGTACTAGCGACGTAATCGTAACCCTTGAATTACGTTTCGTGAGTGTTCCTGTGGCCGTGGTAATCACTTACCATAGGTGACCGGTTTGCTCCTTTGCCCCCATATAAAACGTCTTGTTATTTAGTCTTTCTCATTTAGGTGGTCCTATTGTTTAATTAGGTTATCAAAAAGATCTTATTTCGATTTCGACGACCAGCAAAAAATCACTGTGTACGCCGCTATAATAGATACTAAACATAATTACATTTGTTGTCTGTAGTTTAACGGTCTCGTGAGATGCCTTTTTAGGACACGCTTTAAAGGGCCGGATCTAAGCGAGGCATATGTAGCGTGTTAGTAGAAGGGGAGACATGGTTTGGTTTGGTTTATTTAAACATAATACTCATTAATTCGTTAACAGATACTAAAAATATGTAATTCCAAGCTTCTCAGTTAATAGCCCCCTATTATGGCGAACGATAATTGAAACGGCTTAGAACGCCTTTAGGTGAGATGTGATAGTTATGGATACAGAATACTTATTACACCATAAATTTGAAGTGTTGTGGATCTTAGTATACATTGTTATAAATATAAATAATAAATACTTATGATGTTAAGAACTAGCCGCACCCTGCGTCGCTTCGCTGTGAGGAATAAAAACAATCTCTGAACCGGTGCAAAGCTTTTTAAGTTTTTGAAGAGTAGGTACACAAACCAAATTAACGTTTTTATATCTGCAGATAAGTAAAGGACAATGAATTGCGGTCTTCCTTAGCTAAGACTTACAGCCTAATTCTATATTGCACTTAAATATTTATAAATACTAATAATACTTCGATACGCCAACTAATTTCAAGCATATATCCTTGAAAACAATAGATCGGAGTCGAATCGTGAATGACTACCGAAAGAGGTAAGGTCGAGAGGTTTAAATTAACTGTGTGAAGTGACCAAAACATAACCTGAACCTCAACCCGATATTTAAGAGAATTAAAGTTGTAAAAAATATGGACTTTTTTTAGTTTTAGGGTAAGATTTATTATTTTCTGTTTTCGTTTTTTACCATTTGTTTACCATGATATAACCTATCTGGAGTTCATCCCTCATGTCTGAAAATGGTCAACTCCAAGGTTATATCTGGAGCCGATGTTATACCTGTTCAGCACATCAAAATTGGAGGCCGACTGGTCTTTCACTTGATCAGTCCATCTTTTGCTTTTGGTGTTCCAGATCACAATCAATTCTTCTAAATTTTATGACCTTAGCGCACTTTATGGCCGAAATTAGAGAGTGTGTATTGTTTTGCATTTATAATAATACAACTTGACCTATTAAAAATAACAATCATGAATTTCGTTTTAATAATATTAAACATAATTTATTTCACTAAACTAGCATTCTTCGTTTCCTAAGATTTCCGTATCTAATTTTATGGGACCTAGCTCATTGCTCTCAAGTGGATTAAAAGCAAATAACCGATGTAACATAACCCAGAATAGCTTACCCTTAAATACTTTGGTACTAGAACCAGAATCGTTATGCGTTACTGGTGATATATCTTCGGAAAGGTTGAATTTAACATATTTCCTAACACGGAAAGTCCTTTGGGCGACATCGTATATCCTACGAATTGAATAATTTATTGGGGATCTGAATAGTCTCTTTATATCATCGTTTCATATTTTTCCTCTGTTTATTTTATTCCGTTTTTACATCTTATGTATTTTATTCGTGTATTAGTTTATTCCATGTAAGGGATGTCGTAACGAATACTGAAATAGTGTATTGAGATCATCATTCTAAGTCGAAAATCATTGGAATTTTCTACGGGAATATTAAACGTTTTATGCAATCAGCTGTAAGGTTGAAGTAATTCCCTGTAAGTATCGCACAAAAGTAATAACTACTTTTGTATTCAATGCAAACAGTCTACGCACAATAACACAAGTTGGCGGCCGGGAGGAAGCCTCGCGCCTCACCCTCCTCGAATTACAATTATTCCTCGAATTATTAAATTGTTTTCGGTTAAATGTTCTGTTTACTCACTGTGATACCTTTTTCATGTATTTTTTTAATATTAAAAACAATCATGAATTTTCTGGTAAGAATTCCATTCCATTCTTCTCAGATTCCTTTTTTAATCGGTATAGAAAGTGATAGCAACACTTTGAAATAAAGATATGTACACACAGCAAACTAAATACCTGGTCAGTAGCGAAGTAGTGTAGTAGTATATAAAGAAGTGACATTTTTTTGTACTATCACTAAAGAAATAACAAACTAAAACGCAAAGTTATTTTGACAAAGTAAATATTTGCATATGTTTCAGTGATAAAACTAGTTATTTGCAATTGACATACATATAGACGTATATAAACATACTTACTAAAATAACACACTCGTATAAACTTGATCAGGTCATATCGTTGTTAATAACTGTTTGATGCGTTATTTATTTTATGTTTGGGTATAATTTATATAAAATATATGTAATGAAATGAATGACATTTCATAATTTGAATTTTGCGCATCGAAGTGACATGTGAACCACGATTCAATGACGGATGACGCTTAGATTATTTTGTGCATTTTATTGTTATAAAAACTTGTAGAGAGATAAACTGAAGGATACGATTGAGGAAGCGATATTAGTGAACTTTAAATGTCGTTTCTTTTTATTTTCAGAGAAACAATTTATGGTTTATTTTGAAGATCCTCAATAATATACCTTATTAAACTACATTTTTGTAAACTAAGAGAAGATGGACCGGCTGCAATTTGAGTTTACGATGATAGCCTCAAATGATGGCAAATCGAATGTACTAGCCATAACCTCAATATCTACAGAAGAAGGAAAATGTTATGTTTTACCCGAGGAGCTGAAGCCGGTGAGTCATCATACATACATTGTTAAAATGAACACTTTCACAAAAGTAAAAAATGAAACAATACAAGAAAAGAAACAAAATTTAATACACAAAAATAAAATCTATTATAAAAAAATGAAAAAACAGGAAAAGATTATCCTCTCAGAAGAATTTAGTAAAAAACTTATAAAATAGGTGCATGAAGATTTATGCCATATTGGGATTAGGCAATTGCAGAAGAAAATAAGTCCTATATATACAGCTATAAACCTAACAAAAAATATTGTAAATATTTGTAAAACATGTGAAATATGCATAAAAAATAAATCAAGATGTCAAAAAAAAATTGGATTATTGTCACAACTGGGACCAGCTACAAAACCATTTGAAATAATGTCAATGGATACTATTGGTGGTTTTAGAGGATCTAGGTCTACAAAAAATACCTACATCTTTTAGTAGACCACTACACAAGATATGCATTTATTGCGACTTCAAAAACCCAGAATGCAAGTGACTTTATAAATCTAACAAAGAAAGTACTAGAGACAGATGAAATTGGAATTATCCTCACAGATCAATATCCGGGCATTAATTCACGAGAATTTAAGCAATACTTGCAGGAGAATAATATTAAACTAATTTTTACAGCTGTGAATACACCATTCTCGAACGGCTTGAATGAAAGATTAAATCTAACAATAGTAAATAAAATAAGGTGTAAAATGAATGAGAAAAATAATAAGAGAACATGGACAACACTAGCAAGAGAATGTATACAGAAATATAATGAAACAGAACACTCCGTTACAGGTTTTGCACCAAAATATTTACTGGATGGTACAAATGTCAATATTCTACCAAATGAAATTAAAACAATAGAAAAGGAAGACAAGTGGACTGCTGATAGAAGATTGGCATTAAAGAATACAATAAAATCGCATGAGTACAAGAAGAAAATATTTGATAAAAATAGAAAAATGCAAGAGTTTAATGTAGTGTATATATAGAAAATGGAAATAGATTGAATAAAAAGAAATTAGACGAATTAAAAATAGGCCCTTTCAAGATAATAGAAAAAATATCGAATTCCATTTATAGGAATGATACAGGCAACAGAAAAACAGATTCAACATTATTTCACATAACAAAATTACAACCTGTCGTAACAGAAGCTGAGGAAGATGAAGGAGAAGAAAACGAATATGAAGATAATTTATAGGTACATTGTATAGATATATTGCTTAGAATTTTCGCTCTTAGGGGGGGAGATGTAATGAAATGAATGACATTTCATAATTTGAATTTTGCGCATCGAAGTGACATGTGAACTATGATTCACTGACGGATGACGCTTAGATTATTTTGTGCATTTTATTGTTATAAAAACTTGTAGAGAGATAAACCGAAGGATACGATTGAGGAAGCGATATTAGTGAACTTTAAATGTCGTTTCTTTGTATTTTCAGAGAAACAATTTATGGTTTATTTTGAAGATCCTCAATAATTTACCTTATATATATATATATGTAAGTATGTATTTATCTGTCCTGTTACCACATACGTACATAGGTACATAGTACAAAACAGTTTATTTTTTACAAAATCAAAAAAAATTGACTACGCTTTAATGCCTAAATTATTCAACCAGTCTTGATCGTTCGTTCGTTCGTTCCGTTGTTGTAGAGACAAGGGTACAATCGTTCAGAAAAACACGGTTCTCGAAAGATTATTGATCAACTTAAAGTATTTCTTTTTATTTTCTTAATGTATCTATAAACTAAATTTGAATGCACGAAATGTTTTGAGTACAACAACATTGGTATTCCAATATCTCATAGTAATATGTCTGGTACTTCATTCCTTTTAGACTCCCACCCGATTTGTATTGGACAGGCTGACAGGCGAGCCACAGCGTCTGCTTGTGAAAGTATTATTGAAATATGCTCTATCTTCGATATTTGACGTTTAATATTGAATTGATAAAAATATCTTTTGTAAAAAATCATATTTTTTTAACTACTACAGTAATGAAATGGAAACATAAAACCTACTTATATTTTAAATGTAAAAGTGAGTTTGTTTGTTCGTTACGCTTTCACGCCTAAACCACTAAACCAATTTTAAGTTTCACTGAGAATGTAACTTTCCATTAGTGATGAATGATGATGAGTGAATGAAATCAGTCAAGTGTTGTTGCTTGGAAATATAGCCTTATTTATAGTTTTATAAGTTGATCAACTAATAACTCTTTGACTTGTGAACTCTACTCAGCCGTGATAGTTTTCCTTTTAACTGTACTGACATATCCGACTTAACAAATAATAAAATTCACTGTGTCTACACTCTAAATTGTAATAAACTTTATTCTTCATTTCTTAATTGTCAACTGTTGGTATTTATTCTTCAAATTGAATTAAATATGAACCTAAATATGAACCAAATGGAACTAAATATGAACTATACTCTTTCATATAAAAATAATTTACTAAATCGGTTTAAAAATGTTATGGTTTTGAGGTCACAAACGTAGAAAAAAAAACAACTGAATTTAAATCCCCCCCACCCCTTTTTGCGAAGTCGGATAGTAGAAAAATAATTCAAATATCGTCAGTCATCAAAAACATACCTAGACAAGTTTCAGACCATCCTTTTACTTTTTATCCTTCTATGACCTTTTTATCTTTTTTTTACACCGACCTTAATTGGATGGCCAATAAATCATAAAATACGACACATTCGAACCTATTGGCATTGACTCTTGTAATAACTATCCGCGACCCAAGTCACACTGAACAAACCTATCAAAACTTAATATCAAACCACACACTATTATCACGGTTTTATGTTTACGCACACAATAACATTTTTCACAACTCATGCTATGTGAAAAACGATTCGGTGACCTTTGATATTTTATGTGACTAAAGATGTACTGATAATAAATTGGACGCATGAATTTCAATTGAGCAATCTAAACGATTTTATTTATGTATATATAAAGAAATTTGGTATTAAAATAAGACATATTTATAGCTTGTTAGATATATGTGAAGTACCAATTAAGAATTTGGGTTGGAAATTTAATGTACTAAGAAAATAGTTATTAATAAAATGCCTTATAAATTGACTTTATCTCTACCACTGATTTATTGAGTTATTAATTGTTAAAGATTAAAATCTGATTTTATATTAATACACCCTTCTTCAAACATCTAATATACTTACCAGTGCCATTATATTTTACCGGTATTAGAAACAAAAAATGATTTGTATTTTTAAAAGCTACCAAAAAAATTAAAAAAAAACTTATGAATATATAAAGCCCTGATTTTAACAAAAAGTGTTTTTTTTATTCGCGTTCATTCCTAGTATTTCTTATTCGTTATTTATTTTTATTATTTTTTGCATAAAAGTATACTGCTGGAATTGATAAAAGAACTTGTCATGTAAGAAAATGGTACACATTCATATCTTATCTTTGTACTGGTTTGACTGCATCTGTAAATAACATAAAATTAACATGTAATGTATAATGTAATTAAATATGTATCAACATCATCATCATCAACAGCCTAATAGTCCACTGCTGAACATAGGCCTCTCCTTAAAAAGAGGGTTTTGGCTAGCCAGACGTGTGGGTATAGAGTTCGTTTCACGTTTTCCTTCTCTTAGCAGTGCTGTTATCCTCCGTAGTTTGTTCCCTTAGTAGTCTCTTACGACACGCACAGGATGAGTAAGGACGGTGACACTCCGTATTCTTAATCCGTCACCACACGAACAACGATACGAAACATGGAGAGAAATATATATAATACTTAGTACCCTAGTCTTTACAAAATGGTGTCAATAGTTAACCCCTGTACCTTTTATTACTTTCCTCTTCAAACTGATAAAAGAGCTGGACGTGACATATCCTTCTATAGGTTCGACACTGTAATAACTTTTCATTTATTGCTCGCTTGTATACGAAAGAGGGTCATGAACATTTCCATATGTCAAAGCCTGTTTGATTGGTACCCTTTTCAAAGTCAACACTCACATTTAGTTTCTAAAGTTGGTTTTATAGAAGCTTATTTCGCCATTATTGATTGTTTTTTATAGTATTTCATACACTTAAAAGCCATGTATTGACCCAGTTAACTCAGACTCTAAAATAAAATAAGCTGGGCTTCCGAACAATAAGAGAGATTGGAATTTTAATACGCAAAATTCTAAATGCTCTTCTACCATACCATTTAACCCTGTGGCTCTGTCCGGCACAAAACTAGCAACAAATAATTTATGTATTAAATTTGTAGATGATGGATTTTAGATAAAAAAAATTAGTAATCATAATAATTACCTAATAACTAATTGACCGCAAGATGACTAGCAGGAGCTGGATGCAAGAAGCCAAAAATCGATCTAAGTGGCGTGCAATGGGAGAGGCCTATGTCCAGCAATGGACTGCGATAGGCTGATGATGATGATGATGATGTATTAAGAAATATATAAGTATGTTTATCAGCAGTCTGGTTACAATAACACATGCTCTGCCATTTTGGATCAGACGGCCTTGTGGGAGATGTGTAAAGTTATTATTATTAATAACTACACAGCTATTATTAAGTCTAAGGTTTATTCTTGTCTCTACTTGTTGTTAACGTTTCAGTGTACAGTGACTAAACGGGTTACCCTTGTATCATCACAAAATAATAATTTCATAATTTCATTTGGTAAATTATTACTTAGCAAATAAACTGTTCACAAATAATTGCAACGCAAATATAATGTTTGGCAAGTGAACGTTTAAACAAAACTTGCTTACCAACTAGGAAATATTTTAGTTCTCAAATTTTCATTCGGTCAAATTTTTACCTCGCAGAATATTACCAGGTCAAATTTTCGACAAAACGACAAGATCCCAGACTAAACGTAGATACGATTAGTAACAGTATTCAACCGTTTAAAACCGTACTATTCCACTATACAGTTGTGTTCTCGAAGTTACTTGCAAACAAAACCACCAGTTATTTTTCTCTTTGTAAGAACTATTAAGGTCATTTAGAACAGTTCTTTTTTTATTCTCTAATTGCAACCGTCTAATAACGACCATCCGATTTCTTTAAGTAAGCTTGTCGTACTCTGTTTGTTATTTTAAGGCTAAGAAAAGACCATTGTGGGATTGTAATTCTAAAAGTTTGAGAGCGTTTTAATACTGAAACAATAACTTTGAAATAACAATGATTTGAAAGTTAAAATAAAGAAAGACAAATCAGAGGTGCTGGTGTTTATCATTGGCAGCCATATTGAATACTTTCTATTACAAGCACCTCCTTTCTCCCTCCTTTCCTCCTCCTTTCTAAGGAGAGGCTTATGTCCAGCAGTGGACTTGTAAAGGCTGTTGATTATAAGCACCTCTCAACTCTCTTTTAAAACAAAAATCTTCCACCTATTTTATCTTTATTACCTTCTTGAAATCCCTAATACTAAGGAGTAGGATTTGAGTATCTATTATTCTTAATACTGATACGTAGTTTGGAACACTCGCAGTATGACTATACTTTGAGTCTCTTCTTCTTCACTTCAAGTATCGGTACTCTTCCCTTAGTACTTAAATAATAAATATAAATGTTACTTCTAATATCTTTACCTTATTTATTTGTTTTAAATACATATGTTACTGTTTGTGTACATTTGATTAGGAGATAATGTTTTCTTTTTTTATGAGCTAGCGGAAAACGAACAGTTGGGTCTCTTGATGGAAAGTAACTACCTTCCATCAAGAGACCACCACATGAAAACCTGCAACCCAGAAGGCCAAGGCAACGAATGATACACATAACTATTATTACAAAAAAGGAATTACAAATATATTTGTTCATTTAATCACAGGCAAACACAGCTAACACAATACACAGCTAACAATAAAAGTTCCTTCAAAATTCAGTTCCGATCGATTCTCGATCTTGCAACTGTCATAAAAGGTATTTGCATAGTAAAATAGCATTACTAGGACTACCAGATTACCGTAATGTGTGTCATTGGTTGCCAATCCACAAAAGTAAAACGAAATAAAACTACACTGTTGGCAGTAATCTATTTGAAAATCCTTCAAAACACTTTAAATTTGAAATGAAACCCACAAATAAATGTAATAATAATTTCGATCTCGTGTGTTGTTGTATATTACCTATCTTAGAAACCGAGATTACGTAACTCAATAAGGTCTCAAATATTACAGTCGTATAAAAGACATCTTTCTGATATTTGTTTTTTTTTGTTACAGAGTCGTTTCCACATGAAAACATGAACAATCCACATAAATGGGACTTCCTAGTAATGATTTCCAGCAGGAGGTAATTTCACGTTTTCTTTTCTCAAGCGAATTCCTCGATTTGATTCATTAACGATACATTTCATAAAGTGTCTTTATTGTTACAGGGTATTGGAATATGAAAGAATGTATGAAGATAGCGCACTCGATCCACACAAGAAAAATTGCCGGGACCTACCTACTAAATACTTTGAAAAGTTTTCAAGTCTCAATATTCTTAATGGCAATAGAACGTGAGATGTAGGAAAAAAGATAACAACAAGATGGGGCAGACTGCAACACACGTTGATGTTAACTACACATCAATAAATTACACCGAAAATATAGTACAGTATGATAGAGATGAGTGTGTTGTTGCTGATGATCCAAAATATCCAAGTAGCTTTGGAATTACCCTTGCAGTTCCAGAGTGGGAGGCAATATGTACAGCAATAGTTCTCACACTAATAATAATCTCAACTATAATTGGAAATATTCTAGTCATTCTAAGCGTGTTTACATATAAACCTCTGAGGATTGTCCAAAACTTCTTCATTGTGTCTCTTGCAGTAGCAGATTTAACAGTAGCAATATTAGTTCTACCCCTGAACGTAGCGTACTCTATTCTTGGGCAGTGGGTGTTTGGCATATATATATGCAAAATGTGGCTCACTTGCGACATAATGTGTTGCACTTCATCCATATTAAATCTATGTGCGATCGCTTTAGATAGATACTGGGCTATCACTGATCCTATAAACTATGCACAAAAAAGAACTTTAGAAAGAGTTCTCCTCATGATTGGAGTAGTTTGGATTCTCTCATTAATTATTAGCTCACCACCATTGCTTGGGTGGAACGATTGGCCAGATGTGTTCGAACCTGACACACCCTGCCGTTTGACATCTCAACCCGGCTTTGTTATTTTTTCTTCTTCCGGTTCGTTTTACATCCCATTAGTCATAATGACAGTAGTTTACTTTGAGATATATTTGGCCACTAAAAAAAGACTCAGAGATCGTGCTAAGGCTACAAAAATAAGTACGATATCAAGCGGTCAGAATCGAGGCACAAATAAGGACAACGACCAGCACGATCAGGATTCTGTAAGTTCCGAGGCAAATCATAACGAACATCAAGGAGTGACTCGTTTGGTCTCCGATTCAGAAAAGAAAAGAAGAACTAGAAAACTGACACCGAAGAAAAAGACAAAGAAACGATATTGGAGCAAAGACGATAAATGTCATAATAAACTCATAATACCTATCTTATCAAATGAAAATTCAGTTACGGATGTAGCGGAAAACTTAGAAAATAGGAACACATCGTCAGAAAGTAACTCAAAAGAAACTCATGAAGAAGACTTGATTGAAGTTAATGAAACCGAAAAAACTGTAAAAAGTCATAAACGTCCTAAACCCTGTCAGCAAAACATTGTTTACCAATTTATTGAAGAAAAACAACGTATTTCTTTGACAAGAGAGCGTCGCGCCGCTAGAACTCTAGGCATTATAATGGGAGTATTTGTATTTTGTTGGCTACCTTTTTTTGTTATTTATCTTGTGATACCCTTTTGTGTTGGTTGCTGTTTGTCAAACAAATTTATCAATTTCATTACTTGGCTTGGCTACATTAATTCCGCACTAAATCCTTTGATATACACCATATTCAATATGGATTTCAGGAGAGCATTCAAAAAGTTACTTTGTATGAAACCGTGAACGTGCCAAAATCTAATTTTATGAAAACTGTTATGCTTGTAATCATTAATGATGATAATTTGCTCAAAATTTAAATTATTTGTTAAAAATGTAGAAAATTATATATTATCAAATCTACATATGTTATAAGGTAAACAATAAGAATCTCAGTGTAATTTCTTGAATATAAGCCATTAAATTATACTAGTATTTGTATGTCTAACTTTCAAACAATGTAGAGTAGTAAAATGTAAATATCTGAAGGTTGAATAGTGCATAGCACGCTTAGAATTCTATATGTGTGTAAATAGTAATTTGTAGATTAACCGAATTTCGGGCAATCATAACCAACGAATAACTTGCAAATGTATAATCTTAATAATATGTACATACATATCTTGGTCCGTTGTATATAAGTGAATGATATTTGTAAATTATCGTAATAATGTCTGTTCATACTCGAATAATTATTTAGTAGATAAATGTATTTAAGATGTTTAAGATACTTCAATCATTAGAAGAATTTAATTATTTGACGACTGTATATCCCTTTGAAATAATTTGAGCCCTTATTTAAAGGGGATATTAGATTTTAATGATTAGTTTTGTTATTTCGTTGATTGAAATAAACAAAATGAATATACTTTTGTTTTATTTTCTGATAATAGAAGTAGCCATCATGTATTTTATCATTAGTTTTATAGGGTTACAAGCTTATGAAAGCTTATGAACGTTTACAAACTTTTTCGAATAGTGGAACAAAGTTCGCTAAGAGAGAGAGCGGAGTAAGAGAAAAGTAAGTCAATAACGCCAACCCAGAAAGATGAAAATTATTTGGTAACTACCATAAAAAAAGAATAGAGTTGATTTTGTGTACTACTGCCTCATCTCTCGCCTTAACCAGTTAATATTAGAACATCACGCTCTAGTGTACTAGGAGGTATGATAGGGAGGTACGTAAAACAGACAGGGTAGGTACTAGCCTGGATCTAGCAGATTATTGCGTCGCTTTCGTGACCAAGAAAATGTCCTAAGAAATTAATTTAACTTGTTTCAAGATTCACTCAAACCGCTGCTAACTTAGGCCTCAGTTATGAATGCGAGATTAAACAACGGCTTTAAAAATTTGAAGATTAAAAACTTAGTTCATTAAGATATTATAAAACAGAGTTACTCTCTCTCAGTATCAATTTCAAGCACAATTATTGGAATCAAAAGTCTGTCACTACTTAAATGTAAATAATAATATGACTCTTTCGATGAATATTGCAGAAATAATAATTTAAATCCTGTTTTTTAAGTAGTTCTTTAGTAAGAAAGGATAATAAAATCTACCCAGGACAAATAATTGTGTGACGAACACGATAATAATTTTTTCTGTGTCTAAGTGTAATTTATCTATAATGTATAATATTTACTTAGAAATATATTAGCTTAGCCTAGTTTTAGGAGTCAGACTGTCGTGTGTGAGAGGTGTGAAAAAAGATGACAAAGACGACAATTAAAGTGATGAATTGCGATTTATTAGGCACACCAATAAAACTAACTTTCGTAAATTAAAACTTTTGAGGCGTAGAATAAAATTTATTGAATACAGTAACGAATTTGAATACAGTTAATTTATCAAATTAACTGTATTCAAATTCGTGGTAAAGCTATTGGTCTATCATAAATTAAAACTAAAAAAGATTAGGCTAACACAAAGAGTGAATTTTATTTTTCTGGGTTGGTTTTATTGACAGAAGTCAATAACGCCAACCCAGAAAGATGAAAATACACTTAGTTTTTTTGGTAACTATCATAAAAAAAAGAGAGTTGACTTTGTGTACCATTGCCTCATCTCTCAAACAGTTATCATTAGAACATCACGCTCTACTATACTAGTAGGTATGATAGATAGGTACATAGGACAGGCCCTGCCCTGCCTGTCCTGTGTACCTATCTAGTCTAGACCTAGTAGACTTTGCGTCACTTTCGTGACCTAGAATATAGTTTTCTCTATAGTCTTTAAACCCTTTGCTGGAAGTTGATATACAATCTCCTTATACTTGTGTCATGTCATAAGGTAACGAGATAGAGCAACCATCCTCGAAACCCTTTAGACATACAAGGCACTGCAAACCACAGAACAATGATCGACGTCGAAAGCATCGAAGATAAATGATTTTATGGTAAAGGGGCAAACGAGCAGACAGAGAGCGATGCTCTGGCTCAAATAGGCGGACTCAACCGGAATGACCATGCTCTCACAGAAAACCGGTGCTAAGCAGTGAATTTCCTTCGCCCAAATTCGCCCAAAGGTAAAAATACGGAATATTACTAACCCTATTCATCCCGTTGGTATCGTAAGAGTCGACTAAGGGGGCAAACTATGCAGGATAACACACTGCAAAAAGAAGGAAAACTTAACACAAATTCGATAGCAACTCGTCTGGTCAGCCAAAACCTCATTTCTAAGCAGAAGCCTAAGTCCAGCAGTGGACTATTAAAGGCTGTTGATGTGATGTAAAATCCATAAGGAGTTTGGGCTCTAACAACCCCGAGTTTGGGTCAGGACTTGTAACTCTTGAGTTGAAAATGTCCATTGACGGCGATAGTGACCCCTCCGCTCGTTTGCTCCCATAACATACCATAAAAAAGGTAACAACCGCTGAGCGTCGAGGCCTTTCAAGCGCCCCTCCACTACAAAAGGCCGGGGGATAGGCTCCAATGACCTCACTTAATGAAAGAATTGCTTAACTTCAGGTTGAGCCTACCGAAATGTGCCGAAGCATTGCACTCCTATGGGCAAATTATTAGTATAGGATGTTTTGAGGAAAGTTCCAATTAATAATTACTTTGTTTCAAATAGTTCAAAAAATGATTTTTTTGCTTATCTATATAAATAAAAATGTCATATATGTCAGCGCATAACTTCTGAACGACTGCACTAAATTAGGTAATTATTTTTTTGTTTGTTATTGTCAGGACAAGATTTCTATGAAAGGAAAAAATAAATAGTTTTAAAAAACTAAAAAAACACGCTTTCTGTAGAAAACCAAACTAAAAAATAGAAAATAAATTTGAAAATAGCGTTAGGTGCCTGTTGTCAATAGTAAAAAGCACACCAGGTTTTTTTTTTTTTAAATTAGTGTAATGTCATCGGTCCTCGATATATCTACAAAGTTTGAACGAATTCTGACCGTTTAAAGTCAGTCACAATCACGCCCAAAGGAGTCGTTTACAAACCTACAAACAAACATATAAGTGAAGCTAATATAAAGCGTGTAAAAACAAACAGATTAATAAAAATAATTTGATTGACTCACTCAATCAAAATAAGTTAATTGATTATCATTAAAGGTTTAATAGTTAGTATTAAGAATTAAAAAAAAACATATTATCTAAAAACACCAAGAAAATTCAACACTTAACCTAACAACTTATAACATGTGCAAGAGCGATGCGTCCCATAGAAACGAGCTGCATTGCGCGTAAACGGTTATTCTCACTCGAGTCGTCGGACTATACGGTTCTATGTACGACTATGTTCTATGTATGTTAATAAGACCTTGGAATATATTTTGATTATGTTTACTGTTGTTCTTATTTACTACCGTTGGATTGTAAGGATCTATGTCTATATAAATAAAAATGAATCGCCGAAATGTATGTCCGCGCCGAAATATATTGTCAGGACCTAGTTTGTATAAAAGAAAATTAATAAAAAAGAACAGATTAATAAAAAATATATATTTGAAAAGTGGGCGAGTGAATGAGACAGATGACTGTGAGAGATCTTCTTTACATTGACAAAACATTACTGTCAAGATTGACAGCATGGTGACAATAATTCATATATTTGATTGATTTGATAGACTTAAATTATATTCGAATTAATGATAATTGAAGTTTTAATAGTTAGTATTAAGAAATAAACCGAAGAATCATAATATTATGTAAACTACATTTTTAATTGTTGTTGTTATTGACTACAGCTTTTATGAAAGAAAACCGCGATAATGTAAAAACGACATCAGCTTTGCAAACGTCACTCTTTTTAAAAATAACTCGGACACCGGTCCGCCATCATTTTACCACTTCCTCAGCAACAGCAAAACGGTGTTTTGATCTGTATTTTGTTATTGATAGAAAAACGCCACCAATGAGGCGTTAAAATATCGGTCGGTGGTCACAATCTTCGAGACAATGAGACAAATTACTGTGAGAGATGGTAGGTATATACATTGACAAAATATTACTGTCAAGATTGACAGTATGGTGAGAATAATTCAAATATATCAGCGCAACTACAAACTACTTTTTTTCAATTATATTTCAAAATATCTGTCGGTGTTCACAATCTTAGAGACAATGAGACTGAAGAACAGCGTTTAGAGGCAAATAGAATGGGAATTTCTCAAGCGACGTCTAACACGACTCCGGAAGAACCCATACCATCGACTTCTAGCAAGGGGCAACAAAACAGACGATCAAACGTAACCATTCCCTATGAACGTTTGGCGTTTAGATACAATGCAACAGTCGACTACCACACAACGGGCAAGTATCATTCCCGATATAAAGTCGCTCCTAGAAGCCAGTGAACGCCCCAGGAGGCATCTGCCCTTCTGGAAGGAGCTTGGCTTGCGCATAAAGGACCACTTTGAGTCTAAATTCGGAAACCGAAGCCCACAAGCAATACCAATACCAACAGTCGACTACGCCGGCGACGAATCGGTCGATTTTGGAACAATGAGCACTATTTGTCAATATCGCAATGCTTTGAGGTTTCGACTCGAACCGCCACTATTGTGTTGTGCGAAAGGTAAGGTCAAATTACCACAACTGTTTAACAACAAATTACTTTCAGGGCAAGAACCTCTATCAAAGCATTTCTTGCAGAATATTCAAAACTACACTATAAATACATAGTACCAGTTACAATAGTGCAATTATTATTATTATTAATTAATTATTATTTGGTGCAAATATAATTGAAGAGCGTGGTTTCAATCCAACTTTTAAGAAGTGTTTTGAAT